GCGCGTTGTGCGGCCGAGTGTACATGACCATGTTTCGTTTCCAGCCATGCCCTGTGTTCAGGCTCAGTATGGGTCCTCGCCTCAAGGAGCCAGCCCGGCCTCCCAGAGCTACAATTACCACTCTTCGGGAGAATACAGCTCCGATTTCTTAACTCCGGAGTTTGTCAAGTTTAGCATGGACCTCACCAACACTGAAATCACTGCCACCACTTCTCTCCCCAGCTTCAGTACCTTTATGGACAACTACAACACAAGCTACGACGTGAAGCCACCTTGCTTGTACCAAATGCCCCTGTCCGGACAGCAGTCCTCCATTAAGGTGGAAGACATTCAGATGCACGGCTACCAGCAGCACGGCCACCTCCCCCCCCAGTCCGAGGAGATGATGTCCCATTCAGGCTCCGTGTACTACAAGCCCTCGTCGCCCCCAACCCCCTCTACACCCGGCTTCCAGGTGCAGCATGGCCCCGTGTGGGACGACCCCAGCTCCCTGCACAACTTCCACCCCAACTACGTGGCCACCACGCACATGCTCGAGCAGCGCAAAACGCCCGTCTCCCGACTCTCCCTCTTCTCCTTCAAGCAGTCGCCCCCCGGCACCCCTGTCTCCAGCTGCCAGATGCGTTTCGACGGGCCCCTCCGAACCCCGAACCAGCCGGGGCCCACCATGCCGTGGACGGGCAGGCCTTTGCAGTCCCCAACCCTATTCGCAAGCAGCCCTCTATGGCCTTCCCAGGGCTGCAGCTGGGCCATGCTCCACAGCTGCTGGAGAGCCAGGTGCCCTCACCACCCTCACGGGGGTCCCCCTCCAATGAGGGGCTCTGTGCTGTCTGTGGGGACAACGCTGCCTGCCAGCACTACGGTGTCCGCACCTGCGAGGGCTGCAAGGGCTTCTTCAAGGTGAGCGGTGGGGGATTGGCGAGGTGGCAGGCAGGGCAGGGGAGGGGGCACTGGGGCCAGCAGCCGCTTTCTCCTTCAGATGGAAATCGCTTAGGACAGAGAGCTGCGGCTGAGCTAACCATGTGGAACAGAATTCCCTGTGGTAACATTAAGTGATCTCTTTATTTCACCATCCTGATTGAATAATCTTATCATTTTAAATAGAGGAGGTCTCCAAGGAATGTAAATAATATGAATGCCCACGGATTTGTATTTACCGAGCGTCTCCTTCCCTCCTCTTGGCATATAAAACACAGCTAGGAGCTGCAAGGTTAGCTCAAATGTTAACGCTATCAATTTGCTCCTGTTAAATGTCCTGGGGAAAAAAAAAAAAGAAAGAAAAAAAAGTGGGGGTGAGGGAGGGGAATAAGAAGTAAAGACAGGGACTGGGGAGATTGAGGTGGCCCAGGAGTGGACCCATGGACCTGGCCGCTGATGCTGCTTGCCTGGTCCTGTCCTCCCCCACAGCGTACAGTGCAGAAGAATGCCAAGTACGTCTGCCTGGCCAACAAGAACTGCCCAGTGGACAAGCGCCGTAGCAACCGCTGCCAGTACTGCCGCCTCCC